TGTGTGTGTGTGTGTGTGTGTGTGTGTGTGTGTGTGTGTGTGTGTGTGTGTGTGTGTGTGTGTGTGTGTGTGTGTGTGTGTGTGTGTGTGTGTGTGTGTGTGTGTGTGTGTGTGTGTGTGTTTCAGGGGACCGGGTGGGGGCAGACCTTGGCCAAATCCTCCTAACTCCAATTCGGTAAGTGACCTGACACCAAAAAAGACACCAAACAAAACAAAAGTTACTTCATTTCTTTCATGATTACCCTTTGTTTTCTTGACCCCCTCCTACAGACCCCCTACTCTTCTGCATCTCCAGGAAATTATGTGGTATGCATGTTTGAGTTTAAAGTGTCATTGTTCACTAGCTGTACACGTTGAAAGTCATTGCTTTATGAATGGAACTTATGGAAACCAAAACTCTCATTTTTAGGGACCACCAGGAGGAGGGGGGGCACCTGGGACCCCAATAATGCCAAGTCCAGCAGGCAAGATCTGTGTGTGTGTTTGAGTGTGTGTTTGAGTGTGTGTCTATATCTGAACTCATACATACAGCTCTGGAAATTAAGAGACCACTGCAGCATTATCAGTTTCTCTGGTTTTACTATTTATAAGTATGTGTTAAATAATAAAATAAAATAATGTTTTTTGATATTATTCTAAAATATAACTACTGAGTTATTCTAATATATAACTGACAGCATTTATCTGTGTTGGAATTCAACAGACACTGGAATGGAATGGTTGCCATACATGTAGAGATTGAGATTTAAGTAAAACTTGGAGTGGTCTCTTGATGTTTTCGAGAGCTGTACGTTGGTGCTCTTTCAAACTCATTGTTTTTCTGTTCATTACATCAGATTCAACCAACTCTGGCGACAACATGTACACGATGATAAACACAGTCCCTCCAGGTGGAAGCCGACCAAACGTAAGACATTCCTCTCTCATCACATATCTGAGTGTTTGGTAGAGTGTGTGTATGTATCTAATAGTTTTCCCCTCAGTTCCCTATGGGTGCAGGTGGCGACGGCCCATTAGGGGGGATGGCTGGGATGGAGCCCCATCACATGAATGGATCACTAGGTACAGGAATAAGTCCTTTGTACAGTATGTGCCGTATTGACACGAAATCTCCAGTTATAATTTTACAATGTGTTCCCTCTTTTAGGGTCAGGTGATATGGACAGCCTCCCTAAGGTGAGCTAATATATTTAACTACTTTAAAGGATAATTGCAGTGTAAATATTTGATCATTTAATAGCATACCATTACCATTTGTTTTAAAGAACTCTCCTGGTAACCTTAGCATGAGTAACCAGCCCGGGACCCCCAGGGAGGATGGAGAGATGGGAGGAAACTTCCTAAACCCTTTTCAGAATGAAAGTGTAAGTCAATTATAATCTACTATATGTGGAGATTAGAGGATATTAGGTAGCAAGAGCTCAAAACGTAATATAACTACTAACTAAACTGTAGAAATATAGGAACAATGTAAGGGGGATTTATTGGAATATACTATTTATAACTATTTTTCAATAGTTTATAATCACCTGAAACTAATAATCATAGTTTCTTTACTTTAGAATAAACCCTTCATATCTACATTCCTCACAGAGTCCACCATGTTTCTACAGTAGCCCTGAATGGACAAACCTCAACTCTGGATTAAGACGGAGCCACATATTTAGTTTGTCCTGTTTGGGAAAGAAGGGGTTATCGTGGGTGTATCCAGTTGTTTGCAATCTGCCACAACCCCATTAAATGCCATACTGGATAGTTAATTTAACAATGTACTTAATAGTTACAGTATAGAATGTTTTTTTGACCATCAGCTACCTAAAATCCAATTAAAATTACTTAGAATGGGAGCAAATCACAAATGCATGACTCGCATAACTTTGACTATGTCTTATAATTGTTGGACTTAATCCATAACATTGTGGAAGGATTTCTGATTCAGCATACTTACTAACCGTGCAAAATGTTCCTACACACGCACTCACACATACTTGTTTCCCCTCATCTTATCTCTGCAGTATTCTCCAAACATGACGATGAGTGTGTGAAGGCTCTGAAGCAGGTTCGGTTCAGCCGCCCATCATGCTGGGGTGCATCAGTGAAAAGCAGCGGGACAGGATGTGATGTCATCTAGGCCAGTGACTCTTCCTCCACCACAACCTGCCATGTCAGGCAGTCGCCCCCCGCTCCGTCCTCCTACTAACCCCCGACCCCCCCCCTCCATCGTTTCTGTCCACGTCTCTTCTCTCCCGTTTCTTCTCCAGTTTGAAGTGGGGACTGCTACATTCATCAGTTCTTCCTCTGCAACTATGAGACTGTACAAAGGAACCAAATTGAAACCCCTGGAGGAGAACTCTTTGTATATTTGCATACAGCGTGAATGAGACTGTGAACACACTCCTGTCTGCCTTTTGTTCATGCCCAAAAACAAATCAGTATCCTATTTATGCTAAGGTTTCAATGTTCAAGGATTTATAGAAACGTTTTGATTGATGGTCAAATGTAATCCAACTGGTGGTCACATCTTTAGTCTTTTCTCGACAAATCGTTGGTCCGTTACTGAAAGACAATTGGAGATACATCACAATAACAAGGTTTATTTAAGGCTTGTGCAGAAATCTGTCTTAATATTCAGCTTTTGTGGTTTTCACATGTGTTCAGACCACTTCCATTGTTTTTTATGTTTTGTACTAAAAGTCGTTTTGCTAGTTATACTCCCAAACTCAGCCATAATTGTTAAAAATGTGAGATCTCTTCAAAATCTAAATTGGAAGTAACATCGTGTGGTTATTGAAAAAACTTGCAAACCAGTTTTGTTTGAGGCTTGAAGCAAGACTGTAACTTTTGTTGAACACAAGACCATGTGGGGCGATAGAAACCAAATGATTCTAATTGAGAGAAATATTGTGTTACTTCCTCTTTCCAAAGGTATGTTATAATGCTGTGAGAGCAGTAGAGATAACACTGGGTACAAAGGTTTATACCCACTAATACAAAGCGATTTTTAAAAATATAATAAAGTAAAGCATCTTTCTTTATTAAGCGATTAAGCTCTGTTCCCATTTGACGGTGTTGGCAGTTTCCTATTGGGCATTTTTACATCCCGTTGAGTGCACAGGACAAAAGTTCGATTTTTTTATTTGACTATATTATATAACAAATGAGGACACTGAACCCGTCATGTGATTTGATTTTTGTTTGCTGGTGCCTGTGTTATCTGTAGTTCTTTGAACCTTTATCCTAATGATTCATCAATTGACTTTCATGAGTGGACTTACAAAGAGAGATGACCAGTATGAAAGGTGAACTGTTTGACACACGTTTATTAAGTCACACTGGTTCTCTATTTCCATCCGGATTAACTGTGATCTCAGTGTGATGTGAAAGGTTGGTTGGTACAGAAAGCTAAATAAGCTTGTTTTTAATCAATGTTTTCAACTTTTTCACCGCCCAAGATGTATAATCATCATACAAAAGGTCGATATGCCTGTGAACATTTCCCTCTCCCTACTGCATAGTGTACAGCTCCCAAATGTAGCTCCTCTTGTCTTGTATGTGTATTTGATATTATTATTATTATTACTATTATTATTATTATTATTTAAACAAATCTGGAGAGGAGGGATGGACTGCTGGTGCACCATCACAACTGAACAGAAATATTTTTATTTAGTCACTTATGTTAGATTGAAGCCATAAGTGGGAGTGCAAGATGATGCATTTGTAAATTGGATCATTTTTTCTGTTTTGTGGCAGTATGTGGGACTCCATTAGTGATGTGTTAATTTTCTCTTTTTTATTCTTGTATTATGTTTTTGTAAATACACAGAGAATAATTTCATGGGTTTTGAATATGCTAGTATAAATCTTCTCTTCCCTTATTCAAAGTGTCGCTCTCTATTTGTTTGGACTGTGTGTATCATTGACTGGTGTAATTCAGGGTTTGCAGACAAGGTGATCCAAAGTCATGCCTCTCTAAGTTGTGTGGTTCTGCGCCATGTGTTGCACGGAACAGCAGTGTGAGTACACTATATAAGAGTGAACACTAGGGGAAACGCAAGCTCCCTCCCTATTAACCAACCTAGCGCATTTAAGCCATTGCCCTTGAGCAACGAAGCTTGACAGCCTCCTAGTGTGAACTGCATGAACTTGATACGGCTCCTGCAAAAGTCAGCATAGGACAAATCATAAGCATAGCAAAAGAGCATGTAACATGTGCAGTAACAGCCTTTTCCTAAATGCATTTAAAATAAACCGTAGCCATCTTTTACCTTGAACACAAAGTGAAATAAGAGCCTACTGTAATATAGTATCCACATTATTATACTAGCAGTACATGCTCATTAACAGTACAATCTTATAGGTCAGAGAGTTCAAAAGGAATAATTCCTGAAACAGCAGAGGCATAGATGTGTACTTATTTACTGCCTTTAAATGTAATATAACTGTAACACTGCCTTGTCAACACTGTTTAGATTAGTCCCATATATATATGTATTTACTGACTGGTATTTGCATTTTCCATGAGAACAACTCCCTGTCTTCAAACACAGAAGAAGAGTGACGGGAGGAATAATTCATCACCAGAAGACAGTAGAAGAAAGTGTGAGTGAGCTTTTTCCAGAACCACAAAGAAGACCTCAGTATTTCTCTTGTATGACACAATAATAAAACTTATTACAAACATAAATATATAACAAACATTCACATTAACTATCATCCCTATCTTCTGCGTGAAAAAAACAAGCAGAGATCAGCAAACATCAGTGATGCCAAAATACTGTCAATATGCTCTTTGGTCACTACAGGGATGCAAATTGTTACATAACTTCCCAAACATACTGTCGCCCGCCCACCTTGTGCCCTTATTTATCACCAAAAACTCTCTCTCTCCTGCTCTGTCTCTGTCTCTGTCTCACCCATAGTTATGTAACGTCCCCTATATTAGTCTTAAGTCTAGCATATGCTGTGCTCATAGTGTTGCAGTCTCCTATTGGCTGTGATTTTGACTTCTAATCATGTCTGTTCAGTTTTGTTTAGCTCTGCTGGCTCTCTCCTCCCTGACTGCAGCATCTGATCCAGTTTGTGAGGAGCTGCTGAAACCTCTGGAGGATCACAGCAAGGTACGTTGCTCACATGAGTAAACCTTAACCCCCAGTGTACTTTACATTATTATTCTATAGGGCTACACAACTGAAAACAAAAACGATTTATTTTGAGCTCAAACATGTCTACGCTGAGACTCGTTATTAAACTAAAAACGTGTTCATTTGTGTCTAGGTTGCTGGGAAATGGATATTCCATGCTGGAGTATCAGACACTGGAGATCTCATGGGTGTTCTTAAAAATGTCAACAGCTCCTGGATCAAACTCACCCCCATACCTGGTAGTGAGGACATGACTCTACGCTGGGGAGACAAAATGTAACTGTTCATCACTTTTTTTTAAATTACTTAATTAAGCAAATCAATCCATGAGGTAACTGCTTAGGCTTATGTCATATTTGTCTCTCCTTTCAAGAAAGGATAAATGTGTGTATGGAGGCCTCAATTACACCTTCTCTGGAAACGACACCAAGGTGACATGTAAGTAAATCATGATTATAATGTGTGCTTAAACACACAGTTACTAGAAATGCATAACAACATGTTAATCTTCTGGCTATATCTCATAGTTAACTTTAACGACACTGACCACGTGCACACTGGGAGGCACCTGAGGAGCTGCACTGACTGCATCCTCTGGACCGACACCGCATTGAGGCCGGGCCAAGAGGAGGTCATAGCTGGCAGAAGCCTGTACATCTTCAGTGAGTTCACTGCTGTCTGTTACTTTCGGCTTGTATCCCTTCATTTGGTTGACTTTAACGTGTTTCTCTTCCTACCTGCCCTGCAGCAAGGACTGGGAAATTGGATGACCTTGATCTGGAAATTGTCAAGCTACAAGCTGCATGCCTCAAATTCCCCCCAGAATTCTTCTTTGGAGATGTCACAGGTAAGATAGCAATTCATCACCACACACATGGCAGTAAGGAGAATATTGAAGCACTTATCAACTCTTTTTGTTTCAGACCTGTGCCCTGAAGAGGAACCAGCTGCCGCAGAAGTCAAGGAGGAAGAACAATAAAAACCTGAAGTTATTCCATGAAATAAATCTAATTTGAATTCAATATGCTCTGTTACACTCAAAGTACCACTTGTGTGTATCACAGATGTCTTGAAAGATGTAAGAGTAAACCATCTCAACTACTGTATTAAAGAGAACCGAATAAAGTGATTTCACATTGAATGTTCAACTCATAAATCCTGATTGACTGCACTTTTTCTTTCATGCAGGTAAAGCACAATGAAATATAACAATATGTTTGCATGTGAAAAGAAACCTTCTTGGATCCGATGAGAGAGAAATCAATCTATCCGGCCAAAGTCCATTCTTAGTTAGTTAAAAACTTTGGTCAGAGAAAAGCACAGGGTACAACTTCCATTCATGCACACTTGTTGTCCACCTCATCACTAGCCTTTTAATGTTGTCTATTGTTGTTGTGCAACTTGAAGGACGGAGAGAAACGTTTACATGGCTGTGAGAAACTTTAGCAGCCCTTTCAGAAGTTGTCCTGCACTGTGTGACTCCCTCCCTGAAGAAGAGATAGATGGTGGCGTTTTGTCTTATTTATTCACTCTCAATGTTTATTGCAACCTCCTCTGGCTGAATCTCACCATGCTCACTTTTAACCTGTGTGTGTCCAAACATTTACTGTGAAGAGTAATATCTTTCCCCGACTTAATATGGTTTTGGATTCAAAACATGGCGACTGAATAACGTCTTTGTGTGGGTTACATAGCGGGCTCAAGTTTTTATCTGTGCATCAAAAGAGAGTGGAACACACACATGGCACATACAGTGTAAATTACATAACCTCACCTCATTATGAGTTTGGAAGAAAAGGACCATTATTTGGAGATGCAAAAAAAAGCCAAAAACGAAGTAGCCTAATGCCTGAAATACATGAAACATTTTCCACGACAACATTCGTTTTACACAACAAACCTTTTATAAATGAGGCCATAAAATGCAATTGGTGATTTATTACCCAATATTGAGAAACAGATTTCTAAATAAATCGTTCGTTGACTGCCCTCATCTCGAGGTCTTAGTGTGTTGGCCGTAGATGACGATTTTTTGTTTAGATCATTGGACTTTCTTTTACACAAGAAGCACATGAAGTTACTGTACTACTGTGACACATTCTTTTTTCTATTTGAGCTTCATAAATAGTGCTTTTCCCGCATTTATGACCCCTTAAAGCACTTCACATATGCAAGCATGCTTTACACATTCTGAGACAGAGGCTGCCATGCAAGGTGCCGCCTGCTCAGAGGAGACTGACATCCACACACACCGTTGGACAAATCGGGAATAACTTGGGGTTAAGTATCTTGCCCAATGATACATGACTGCAGGGCTGGAAATCGAACCACCGACCTTCCAATTGGTAGACGACTTTACCTCAGAGCCACAGTTGCCTCTAGTTGTCCTCACCATACTGTAAGTAATGTATTTTCCCCCAAAAACAGAAAGTTCATTGTCTAAACCGAAAACATGAAGCTCTGACCTTCCCCTGAAAACAAAAAGACACCGTGTCCATCTTGTGTGTCCTAAATAACTTGGCAAAGAGTGTGTGTGTGTGTGTGTGTGTGTGTGTGTGTGTGTGTGTGTGTGTGTGTGTGTGTGTGTGTGTGTGTGTGTGTGTAAGCTTGTGTTCAAGTTTTGAAAGATGTAGGGGTCTTGCTATTCAGACCCTGTCAGCTGGCTCTTATGTAACGGAATAAATAGGACACAGTCTGACTGGATGTGTGTCTGTGTGTGTGTGTGTGTGTGTGTGTGTGTGTGTGTGTGTGTGTGTGTGTGTGTGTGTGTGTGTGTGTGTGTGTGTGTGTGTGTGTGTGGCCCAGCCCACTGTTAGAGAGCTGCTTGCTGTGAGAGTCTCTAGCTGACTTTAGTGTTCTCTCTGCCTCCTGCTGACTCCAGATATGGCTGCACAGCTTGTCGTTGCTCTGCTGGCTTTCACCTCCCTGAGCGCTGCGTCTGACCCGAACTGTACGGAGCTGGTGAAGCCCCTCGTGCTGGACAGTCACAGCCCTGTGAGTATCAGCCAACCTTTGTTATGTGAGGAGGAGGGTGTGTGTTTTATAACGTGTACAGCTGAGTTTAGTATGAACTTGTCCTAAGTTAAAATGTGCATGAAAGTTGATGAAACTAATTTTGAATCACAACTGGTCATTAATTGTATCACTTGTGCATCTGTGCAATCATTCAGTTTTATATACAGTAATATCTTCTTTTATTGGTTTGATTTGGTAAACTCAACCGTACGCAATTTTGGATGGATTTGAATGCGTCTATTATCAAAGCATTATTTACTCTTTTAATAAGTCAACAACTGAAATATGATGTGCCTTTAGCAAAGAAGATTTTCAGTAGAAAATTGAAAATTAGAAAGGACATTTCCATTTTCTTATTCTTATTATACATTTTAATTGCAACTCTTAGCAGATAACTAGAGTCTTATTTCCTCCACGACAAAATGAATCAATAATAAAGTATTTATAAAACAATATTCTTACAAGGTCGATTTAGCTTTTCTTGATCATATCTTCAACAAACCTGCTCGTTAGCAGAACATTTTGCCACGTTAATTTAGATGCTTAAATGTGTCGGAACATTTTAAGGACTTCTCAAGTCATTACTCACTCTGTCTTTTGGGCGGGTGAGAGATAGATGGCAACTTTGTTTTCAAAAGCTATTTAATCGGGAAAAAAACAAAGTGCTACAGTAAAGAGCTAAAGTATCACTTTCTAGCACCAAGGTTCAAGGTTCTTTATTTGTCAAACGAACATACAGTAGCTAGAGTGTAGTCATGTCGATGAAAATCTTGTGTCACAGGCTTCTCCAACAGTGCAACACAAAACACAGATAAACAGAAAAATATAGTGCAAGTAAATAGTAAATACAAGAAGAAAAATTGTTTAAAAAAGTGAAATAGTGCAATAAGAGTCTATATGCAAGTCATTGAAATATGATATTAGGTCATAGATAAATAATGTTTAAGCAGCAGCCAGATGAATATTGTGGATGTTGTTTCAACAGTTCAGGTGTTTAACAGTCTTATTGCCTGTGGGATGAAACAGGCAGTCCAGTCATTTGAGTGAATGCGTGTTGCCTCTGTGTTTGTGGCAGATCTATGGGAGGTGGGTGCTCCATGTGGGGACATGGGACGAGCCCAGCCTGAAGAGCGACCTGGTGTCGGTGAACGGCTCCTGGGTGGATCTGTCCGCTTCCTCCGACAGCGGAGTCATGACCATCTACTGGGCCGACCGCCTGTAAGGACACTGCGGAAAAGTGTTATGTTGCATTCTCTCATCTACAAATGATGATGGTTAATAGTGTATACTGAAAGGTTGTTGATTGTTGCTCATCGTTTTTGTTTCTCTCTATACAAAAGGGAAGATAAATGCCTTCAGGGTTTAGCCAATGGCACCATCTCTGGGATGACCACTCACACCACGTGTATGTATCACCATCAACTTTTTTTTGTTTTCACTCTGGCTGACTTGCCATTTCTTTTTCATGCTGTGTAATTGTATAGTTCTTGCATGCATGGATAGCCAGATGCAGCTGTATCTCATACGAGATATCTCAATCTCAATCTTTAAGATTTCATTTTTATTTTTACATGAAAACTTATATCTCCTATTTCACCTATCTCTGCAACATTTAAATTACAGATTTGTTGGTACATGTATATCATTTACTTCATCTGCATTACTTGCACACTGGTGTTGCAAGATAATCTTGCACAATTTTATTGGTTTTTAAATTAGTTTTGTTTTAGGTCTTATTCATATTAATCATGCATTGTTGGAGGAGCCTGGGACTTAAGATTGCCCTTGTCCTATTTACACCGTAGCTACTGTGTATATGACAACAAAGCTTTGGAATTTAAATCTTTGAATCTTGCATTTGCCATGTTATCCTGATGTGTCACAGTTAATATCAACGGTCACACTTCATATCATGATGGGAAGTACTATGAGACGTGCTCTGACTGCCTCCTGTCCGAAGACACCACCCTCCTCCCTGATGGAAAGTCTAAGGGACGATACTTTTTCCTCTTCAGTAAGTCTTTTCATTCCCCTACATTGCTGATTTGAGTAAAAATACAAAATGTTTGGTTAATATTTTGACCATTTGGCATCTCCTTATCCTCACCACCTCACCCTCCCTGTTTTATTACTCTGTCTCCTCTTCTAAAGCACGGACTGGCGCTCTGGAGCCATCTGAGTTGGAGATCTTTAAGAAGCAGGCCGAGTGTCTTCAATTCCTGCCGGAGTACTACTTTGGAGGAACAGGTCAGTCGTCTCTTGACCTTTAAGGACATTTTCTTAATACTTTCTTCACTGCACATCAATCATTTTCTCTTTTTTCAGATCTGTGTCCAGATGAACGAGAGCCTGCTCCACCGGCTGCTGAGAATACAGAGAGTCAAACGGATGAGGAGCCTACTGCACAATAAAGCAGAGCACCGAAAAGTCATATCTCTGTGAACACCAAACATATCCAGCTTAGTATGTACTTAGTGGTGTTGTAATTTGCTCTGCACATGCCCTGATATATGGTTATACTGTGGAGTAATATTTGATTAGGTGGTCCGGTTGTTTTCAGCAGCAGCAATGAGTAAAAGGCCTTTGGAGAGTAATATGTGGATTTATTATCTCTGCCTGCTAGGCTATTTGACCGAATACAATTTAGTTTAGGGAAATGTGACGTGTCGATAGCTCATAGCATCATTTGGAGGGTACTGTAATGGCTGAAAAATCCACTTCAACCACTCCTCAAATAGTTGAGTAACAATTTCCATCTTTTTGTTTGAAGTAAATAAAAGTTTTCATTCTCCTTTTGTGTTGTTTTCTTGCTCATTTTAATTTATTTGTCTTATTCTCTAACATTACTTTGGCCTTATTCACGTACACAAGAAGTTAGCAGGCCCATGTTTCAAGATGAATCGCTTCATCAAGACTACTTCAGCTTTTCTCTAACGCCCTGCTGTTCCCAGAAACTTCAACAAAGACTGTTGCCGGGTAACGTCTCTGCGAGGGGGAGAAACTTTGAAACTGTCGCCACAAGGAGTCCATTCAGACCAACAGGGAAACAACCTTCGCTCTAGTGAAGAGCTTCAGGTCCTCTCTGAATGTTTCAACAGCCAGAGACAAGTCTTGGCACTTGCCCGAGTTCACTCAGGGTCAACGCCATGGGAAAGAGAGGCCTGGCCATTCAATGCTGAGCAACAGAAATCTGCATAGTCATTAAAAAAAACGTTACTGTCTGCAGAAACCGCCTCCTACCCGTTAAACGCAGTTGCACAACGACTTTTTTGTTGTTGTTTTGTACCCCAGAGGGAAAATGAATCCGCATTAGAAGATTCCCTTTGCAGGTTCAGGGACTTCTTCTGTATTTCTGCTGACTCTCCGTCTGACCATGGCTCTGCGTGTTGTGCTTCTGTTGGCTCTCTCTACCCTCAGTGCTGCATCTGCACCCGACTGCAAGGACCTGGTCAAGCCTTTTATACCAGAGGACAGCAAACTGGTAGGCTCCGTGTTACCTATTTGTCCCGATTGCGTTTGATTTACTTTATAATATTAGCACAGTCAGATTTATTTTTTTGTTACATTAATCTTGACTTTTGATGTGAAGGTTTTTGGAAAATGGGTATACGTGATGGGAGCCGGGGACCCCAAGCCCTACCACAAGGCTCTGGAGTCTCTGAAGAGCTCCTGGATCGACCTGTCTCCCACTTCTGACAGTCAGATTGTGACGTTACGTTGGGGAGATCACTGCCTGTAAGTCTGTAGATTTAGTTCATTAAAACATGTTGGGCAGAATCCTCCTTGAATTGAATTTGTTGCACAATAAATATTCAAAATGGAAATACTTTACCTTCAAATCCCGTGTACCATACTATACATTTAATTAATGATTATAAGCACCATATACATTCCTTTAATCATTCCACAAAATGTACATGGTTACAGCAAGGTATAGATAGAGAGGACACTATTAGATAAAAGGCATGCACATAGTATTTAAAACAAGAATAATAGAAATAATTTCAATTTACAGAAGAACACATCGCTGTTAGTAGCAGCAGTATTTATAAAATATAATAGTAAAAATCTGTTTAACATTGCAGAATGAAATGTGGTATAAAACAATGAACCAATTGTTACTATTTAAATGTGAAGCTTTTGAAAAAACAGAACTCTGGCCCAGCATCTTCTTGTTTCCCAGTAATCGGTGTATCTCAGGGGAGGTGAATGCAACAGTCTCAGGCATCGCCACCACATTTCGCAGTAAGTAACTCCTGACATAAGGTAAAGCAGCTTATTTCTCTAGCATGGTATTAACAAGATTAGGAGCATCGGAAATTGATCTTCATTCGAAAAATATAATCAGTCGCTCTGCTGTCTTTAAAGAAAATCTGTCAGACCACAAAGGTCATATCCTTCAGAGCTGCTCCGACTGCCTGCTGTGGACGGACACCTTTCGAAATGGAGACGTCACCGGTAGATACATCCTGCAGTTCAGTATGTTCCTCATCAGATTTTACAATTTATCTCTGAGTTTCAAATGTAGTCAGTCATTAAAACAAAACTAAAAACTCCCCTTTTTCCAGCAAGGGACGGAAAAATTGATCCTGAAGATGTTGACACTTTCAAGAAACAAGTTGGGTGTCTGAGCTTCCCAGAGAACTTCCACAGCTACGACGGCAAAACAGGTCAGTGAGTCTTCAGTAAAATGACTGTTATAAATAAATTAAAACAAAGCTGAATCTGTGTCTTCACCGGACACAAGAACGTACTCAAGTTGCCACACGTGTAACATTTAAATATTGTGTTTTTATACAGATAATTTTAAGTAGATAATGCACACGATCAGAAAAATGGAAATACTGCAGATATTCTCCAAGATTTCTGTGTTATCCTAAAGTTTATCTTCTGTCTTCCTGTGTTTCAGAGCTGTGCCCCGACAACAAAGAGGGCACAGAGTGAGCAGCAGCAGCAGCAACATTAGTTTTAAGCAAAAATATAATGTAAAATGTACTAGTTTTGTTTTGATCATCATCATATATGCTATGAAAACTGGTAAGTCGTGTCATTTTTGATTTTACTTATCTACTTTTAAACCTATAAAAGAAGATGATGTACTGAAATGCGTTTTGAAAACTGTGGTGTCAAAACAGCCTCTTTTTACAACAATGCCTTTAGGACATGACATGTCATTCATTTCAGAATAAAACTTTATTAGTATCCTCTCACTGTCTAATTCCTACGATTCACTCGAATAAAAAAAAGAGTTAGGATCCAAAAATGTTTTAGGTACAAAAAGGGAAAGGTAGGCCTACTCATTGTGAAGAATGGTACATTTTGGAATAATATATTATTGGATTATTCCTATTGATATATAGGTATATCAAGGTCTATCGCTTTAATGTTGCAGACAACCTTTTTCTTTTTACCATAATGCTGATTGGCTTCTGAAAATACATTTATATACATTCATAATCAAACATATCAACATCATATTTTGCCTACAGCTATCCCAAAATATCATGGAGTTAAAAGCACAATATGTGCCTCTGAGATGTAGCGGAGCAGAAGAACAATGTATAATTGAAAATAATAAAATACCTGTACCTCAACATTCAATATAAGTACAGTATGGTACTGAAGTAAATAGTTACATTTCACTAGTGTGGATAATATTGTAGGCCAATATATCAAATTGAATGTCCATATATAAATGTTAATCTTTTGTTATTGTTCACTGTTTTCCTACCATTAAGTGACAGTATGTCTGTAGAGGGGTCGTGAAAGACAAAGACCCATCAGAAGCTGTTCTGAGATCTGATCAATAAAACAAGTTACAACAGATTGCTGTTTTCTTTAGGAGACACGAGGTGGCAGTACCGGACCTTTATCCTGATGATTCATTGTCTACATGATATTGTGCTGAGAGGAGAAGCTTAGGATGGAACAAACTAACTGTATAAGTTATCTGAAATTGCAACTGGATAGGCTTTCTGAAAAAGTCACCCTCAAATGTTTAGCTACCACTATCAGAACCATTTCAGAATTTAGAATCAAGCCATGTTACTAACAATGATAATGATAATGGACAATAGTTTATTGCACTCAGTGCTCAAGTTTATTGAAGTTCAGTGTCTACAAGTTAACAGGTAATGAAACTCACAGAGTTTAACATTAGATAAACACACTTTAATTATTTAGTTCCATCTCAGCAAATTCAGTTCTAAAGCTGTGAGGAGACTCATGGTAAAGCTTACTTTGAAGCCTTTTTTTTACGGTGACTTGGAAAGCTCTTTTTGTCCCTTTTCTTTCCATCTTGTCTCTGTGAAGAAGTCTGATATTGTTTGACCATGTCGTCGGTGTCTTGAATGAACGTCTTAACCTGAGGAGACAGTAAAAAAATTACAAGTGTATATTTTTCTGTCTGCTTTTTACCTCCATCTCTGCTCTGTTGGGGCACACACCTGGTCCAGCTGCTTCTCTGTGTCGTTTATATCAACCGCTTCATCTGCTTTCTCGTCTTGACACGTCATTTCGTAGAGGTTGAGTGTCGCCATCTTGATTTGTCCCAGGAGAAGTGTTTTCTTTGATGCGGTTTCCTGAATCTGGTTCCACTTCCTCTCCTGTGTGGGGACAGGGACAACTTCATTTCACACAGAAGATCACCATTTGATTTGGTGTTAGCTCTGATGCCGGACTTTGACCCGGGGTCAGCTCTCGTACCCATTCCAGAACTTCAGAGCGTGTTTTCTCATGCTCCACCTCCATCTGGGACAGCTCGTAGTTCTTCTGCAGACGCATGAGGTGATGCTGTTCTTGATTTGACTGCAGGGTTCTCCTCAGCTCGTCATACTTCTCACGCTTCTTCAGGTCCTGCTGAAGGAGACTCTCTCGAATGCGGAGAAGGTTCTCCATATGATCTGCGAGGCTCTTTGCGTCCTTAAACTGTAACACACACACATAGAAACACACAATCAAAACACTTTATGGACCACACCTGCAAACATCATATACAGGATATTTTTTTAAATAAAGCATAAACCTGGAGGAAGAATGAGACAGAAAGGCTTTTCCACACAACAATGCACATGTGTGTGAATACTGTTGAGGACATCATCAAGAGACAAGATTTAGAAAGACCAAAACAATTATAAAAGTAATTGTTATGATTACACACAAAGACTATTCCTGTACAATAACTAGGTTTAGACGTTATCATTGTTTTCCATAATGATTTATCTTATGTACAATCGACCTTATTTTTCATGTGCTAAATCCGGACTGAAGACTTAACATCACCCCAATCTTCGATGTTTCGAATCCGTTTTGTAAATATTATGAGTTCTTTCATGTCATGAGCTTTAACATGAACACACAATTGTATGACGATAACTTATTGTCCGGCACGACCTCGCGCTCGCGACTCGCCCGTCGTCCGGGGTGTCCCCTGGAGAGAAGGGTGAAGCTGCTAGACGATATTTTTTGCGTCCACCTGCGGGTTCTGGGACCCTGTTGCTCTTGGTTCTCTACGGTTCTTCAATCCAATTGTCCTTGATTGCTAATGAATGCTATTGAATATGTGTGTGCGAAGAATTTATAGGTTTTGGAAAAGCACCGGTAAAATAAAAATAATTTTTTGTTGTTGTATACTAGTTGTACACCAACTAGTAACGACTCTAATCCTAACAAGAAAAAAATAATTTACTGTTTTGTAAAAATAACGTGAAAACTTTGAAAGTTAGAATGAAAAAAAATTTAGTTTTGGTGATAGTAAGCGAAAAAGACAACGACATAATGAATAGGTGTTTTCATATAGGTATAAAAGATTGGTGAGTGTTCCATATACCTAGAAATTTATTATAATGTGTTTTTTTTTTTTGTAAATCATTTATAAATTTCTGGGACTCGAGACCGCTTCATAGGTAGATCATAACAACATTAACACAAGCACGAGCAGCGCGTCAAAAGAGCGTCCCATAGACGAATTGGGTCTCAACTGTAGACCTAGATTTAAGGGTATATAAACATTAAGGAAAGTAATTATCGCTGTAGCACAATTTACGATAATAATTGTTTAACTTGTCTAATGGGTTTCACAACCTACCAAAAGGGTGCGTCAAGTTGAAAGACTGAACTTACGAGTGACAGGACCGACATGGGTAGTTTTACAAGGGTACACACACAGAGTAATATCCTTGACCTCTTAAACCCGTTGTCGCACCTTTAACTCAACGTCCTCTTCTAATTCTTTTCGATTGTTCTACTTGGAGTCGAATACTCTTCTAAGAGTCCATGTCACTTCCTGGTAAAGTGTGTGTTAAGGACATACTTTGACATGGATTGCAATAAACCCAAGTGAGATTTGATTTAGGAAGAGGTAGAAGGGAGGGACGTCCCTGGTCCGATAGACTTACAAGTCTCCGTCATTTCTCCCTCTCCTTTTCTCCAAGGAAGTAAGACCTACGTCTGATTATTCTCGAACAACCACCTAAATCGACTTCTTCAACGTCTCGTCGTGTCCCTCGCCTCTCGCGGTCGACACTTTTGAGTTTGGCATGCGACACTCGAAGCTCGTCCGCCGGTTCAACTGGTTCCATGAACGTTCCCTAAAGAAAATCTTCGATCTCTTAGATTTA